TCGCGAATAACCGAGCCCCGACAGATTCTCGCGCGCACGTAGCAGTTCGCAATTGCTACACTGTCTCTTTGCCATCGCCGTTCCCGGGCATCGAATTACGCTAACAAGTTCCCGGATTACGGGCATATGCTCGAACAATTCGAATCCTGTGCAGCAGCAGCAGCAGCCTCTTTTCCTTTCGTCGACGGCGAATCGCTCGAAATTAGTTCGATGGTCCTTCAAAGTTTCGCTCGGATCCAGTCGAGCGCGCATTCTTTTTCATCTTTTCGATTCGTCGAGGAAACTTGGCCGGGGATGCGCGTTGGAAATATTGGGCTGGCAGGAGAGTAATTTCGGTTATTTCAATGTTAAATGAAACGCAATTCTTTTCTATAACGCGGCTCGGAATATGCGACGTTCGAAGCCTCCGAAGTTTCGGCGTAGCTTGTTTATCTGACAATAATTCGCACGCGTCGCAATTCCGTGCTCTGTCTTATTTGTGGAAAAATTCGCCTCGCAGCGGCATTTCGTCGGAAATGTCGCTCGGAGGTGTCTGTCGGAGGAAAGATCGAACCTCCGAATGTTCGCGGAACGTGTGAAAAAATTGTCTACGGAAAATATTCCTTCTGCGGCGGAGAGGAACCGCCGAAAGCGACGTGACAAGGGATATTGGCAAGAAAGTAATTTCGGAATTTCAATGTTAAATGAAACGCAATTTTTTCTATGCAAGAAATGAACTTTAATCGGTCAAATATTTGCCGTTCCGTTCGATTATCTTTTGCCATCTTTCTGGTAAATTCGTGATTCCGCGCTCGTAAAACTTCCGGTTCTTATCGGTAAACAAAACTCGAACAAGCGCGACTCGAGACTGTCGTTGTTGTTGACATTTTTACCATTTAAAAAGTTTCGTAAACTTCAAAATAAATGACGATCCGATGATGCAAGGTCGGGGCTACATGGAGGATGCGACGTCGCTTCCCAACCAAGCTCCGATCATTTTGTACGCGTTGCTGAAGATGCGCGAGGCCTCGCATCGTCGCGGCGGAACACGATTCCTTCGCGATCCGCCAATTCTGGCCTCTTCGCTTCGATCGCTTCCTCCAATTTCATCAGTTGTTGGCGGTAAACGTCCGAGTCGATCGTTCGTTTGCTTCGAAGCAGCTCGAAATACGCGACACCTTTGGGTGTCCCGAAAATGTCTCGCAATCCGGAAATGGGAGGTTCCCGAGGTGATTCGAAGCAACTTTTTCCTTTACAAAAATTTTCTCCGAGGCACCGTTAACGAGTTATCAACGAAAAACACTGACCAATAAGAGGCGAGCTCGGCTGGCGCGCGGCGGCCCAGCCAACGAGCGCGCGGAGCCCGGCTCCGCCCATTGGCTCGGCCGTCTCGCGCCAAACGACCTCGCCTCCGATTGGCCACTGTTTTTCGTCGATATCTCGTAAACGAAGCCACGGATCGCATTTTCGCTAAGGAAAAAGTTGCTTCGAATCGCCTCAGGAATCCCCTGCTTTCGAATCGCGAGGCATTTTTGGGACACCCGATATTCTAAACGTTCGTAATAGACGGCGAATCTCGAAAGAGAGAGAGAGAGAGAAAGCAATCGATTCGGTGTGTTCGACGGACTGATTCGCCGGTATTAGAGAAAGGAGGAACGGAGTGCTCGGCTCTACGGAATGCAAATTGCGCGCGCGAGGAACACGTCGCTTCCATTTGCGAGCCCCGTAGAATCCGTCTGTGTGTCTGTACATATCGATCGGCCGACTGTCAAGGCTACCACTTGGCCAGGAATGCCGCCGGCGAATAATTCAACGCGATCGCGGCAACCAATCGGGGGAAATCGGACCGAGAGCGGCGGCCGAGGGCGATCCGTTTGCCGATAAACGATCGCCGAGCGAAACGGAGACGGCCGCTCCGGCGAGAGACGCGATCGTGAACCCTAATGAGCCGATTAACCTTTTAGGCACGATGCGCCATTATAGTGGCTTGCTCGCTCGCTCATCGTTTTAATCAAATAATCGTCTTCATATGCATTGTTTCACACTTCTTTTGTCTTCGCATCGATTTACAACAGTCTACAGGGTGTCCCAAAAATCTCTCGCTATCCGGAAATAGCGGGTTCCTCGGATCATTCGAAGCAACTTCTTCCTTTACAAAAATTTTCTCCGAGGCACCGTTAACGAGTTATTAACGAACAAACAGTGACCAATAAGAATCGAGTACGACTGACGCGAGACGGCCCAGCCAGCCGGCGCGCGAAGCCCGGTTCCGCTCAATGGCTCGGTCGCCTCGCGCCAGCCGAGCTCGCCTCTCATTGGTCACTGCTTTTTCGTTGATAACTCGTTAACGGTGCCTCGGAGAACATTTTTGTAAAGGAAAAAGTTGCTTCGAATGGCTCGAGGAACCCGCCACTTTTGGATTGCGAGACATTTTTGGGACACCCTGTACATACAGTATCAGACTCTGCCGTCCAGAGAAATAGCCTCGCGCAGAATTCAGCCGTACCTAAAAGGTTAAAACCGTGCGATGCCTTCCGACCACGCTCTTCTATCTTCGCCGTCGCGCGTCCGACAGAATTAATTCGCGTAAAAACTCATGGTTGCCGCGTCACGGTTATTATCTTGTCTTACGTTCGTTCTACCCCCCCCCCCCCCTCGATTCCAATCTGTTCGGCAATCCGATTAAAAACGAGCTGCTCCGCGCGCCGAGCATTTTCAAATCGATCCAGCGCCGTTCGAACGAACGTTTATAGCTAGAAAAATCATTTCAACCGGTCGTCCGGCTGTCGCGTCTCACTCGAACGAAGAGACTCGACGGAATAATTCGCATCGATTTGGAAACGAATTTTCACGCCGATCTATCAACGTCTTCCCGGTGTCGTTGATTAGGATCCGCGAAATGTTAACAACGTTAACGTCGTCAAGTGTCTTTCCGCGCGCACATTTCCCCCACTCCTTTCTGTTCTACCACGAGATTAGAAGCATTTCGTTGGATACTATTGGGTTGGCAACTAAGTAATTGCCGATTTGTTCAATGAAATAAAAAATTCTTTTTTACTTGGAACGAAGTTTAATCTGTAATGTATTTTCCATTTTGTTCGATGACCTCTTGCCATCTCTCTGACAACTTGAAAATTGCACGCTCGTAGAATGTCTGATCGTTTTCGGCCGAAAACTGAGTTAAGTGAGATTTTGACACAGTGAGAAATGACATCTTTACGATCAACCAATTCTGCTTGCTTTTCCTTGACCGCTGCATTCAATTTGTCCAGTTGCTAACATTCACGGATAATAAAAAATAACATAATAATAATAATAATAATAATAATAATAATTTTATAATATAACATTTACGGATATAACAGTTGCCAACCCAATACTTTCGCTTTATGGACGCGGAATCTGCGTGAAATTCTGGTTATATTTGAAAATTGTCGACTTGACCGGCGATTGCTTTTTCGACGGTGGATTTATAACGTGCTCCCGAATCGGTGATTCATCAAAGAAAAAGGAAATCGAATTGCGGGTAACGCGAGATACTCGGGCTCACGTTACCCGCAATTCGATTTTGCTTTTTTCTTTGATAAATCACCGATCATAATTCGCAGTATCATCAACATTGCGCCGCGCCGCCGGAAAGAGACAGAGATTAATTTGCGAGCAGCTTAATTACCTCTGAAGCGTGTAGTTAACCAAAACACAAGAGGCTCCGGGGCAAAAAATAAAAATAAAACACGGCTCCGCGCTCGGGGAGCTTAATTAACGCTTTAACCTGCGCCGGTGTGCAGGCGCGTTACGTGAACAAACATCAACACTGCTCGAACAGCTCTGTTGCTGCTTGCTGGTCGCCTCGCGTCGGCTCGCGTCGGCTCGCCTCGCGTAGGCTCGCCAGGCTTCGAGTTCTCTCGCTTCGCGTCGCATCGTGCCGGCTAGTGGCGTCTCGCATCGCGTCGCCTCACGTCGGCTCGCGTAGGCTCGCCTGGTCTCGCGTCGCGTCGGCTCACGTCGGCTCGGGTCGGCTCGGGTCGGCTCGCCTCGCGTCGTCTCGCCTCGCCTCGCGTAGGCTCGTCCGGCTCGCGTCGCCTTTCCTCGCCTCGCGCCGCCTCACGGTGATGTCGCTGATAAAGAGCTGCCGTTCTTCTCGAACCATTTGCCTTCATTACCGTCTCACTTGTCCTTCTCGCGCTGCTTCCTAAAGAAAGCTGTAGAGCTTCCGATCGAATCACTTTCAACAAGAACCCTACAAACTTGTTTCCTTTCCCTGTTTCACAGATGATATTTTTGCAGCAGTGGCGATTTTGTGTAGGCGAAGCTTCATCAAGGAATCGACAAATATTTTTGATGTACACAAAAGTATTCGTAATTAATTTTGCAACTAAAAAGTCTACCATTATTTTCAGTGGGCCAGTTCAACCTTAACCGCTCTCTCCCTTAGTTACGAATATTTCAATTGCTTCCTGCCGCCTCGAAGTACAGTGGCCCACAAAAGTGTTCGCATACTTTTTAAAACGCAATAACTTTTTCAAAACTGAACCAAATGTCTTGAATTTTTTTTAGATGACAGAGGGTGTAAAAAGAAAAAATTAAAAATCCTCGTCTTTTAACTTTTTTATTCGAATCCTGTAACGAAAATTTAAAAAGTGCCTTTTATAAATCTCGGTAACTTGTATGCACGTTGACAATTTTATCGAAATCGACTCGCGTTGTTTAAAAAACGAGAGATTATTATTTTTCCTTTGTCATTCCAAGTAATGGCAAAATTTAAAAAAAAAATTATCATTTCAGTCATCGTCTGGTAAACTAATTTCTCAGTCGTTTAAAAATACAAATTCAAGTCACTCGGTCCAGTTTTAAAGAAGTTAAATTGCGTTTTGAAAGGTGCGCGAACACTTTTGTGTGGGCTACTGTACATACACGAAGTTCGAGTAGCGAGCATGACAATAAAGTCGACGAAGTAGAATAAGCGAGAATCCGTAAGCGGAATACGGTTGAGCCTGACGGCGGAATTGATATGATTTCAGACATCGCGGGCGGCTACCTGTGCTTCGTCGTGAGCATATTAGGCATCGGCGTGGTGACGGCGGTAATCGGGGACGTGGCATCCTACTTCGGCTGCACTCTGGGAATCAAGGATTCCGTGACCGCAGTGGCATTCGTCGCACTCGGCACCAGCATCCCCGGTAAGTCGAGAACACCGTCGGCGCGACGTGGAGCGTCGTAGCGCGGCGCGGCGTGTGGCGGTGTAGCGCGGCGCGGCGGGAGGGGCGCGGCGTGGCAGGACGCGCCGGGAGGGGCGCGGCGGGACGCGACACAGCCTGACGGGGCACGGCGTAGCGCGGCGCGGCGCACTCCTAAACCTCGAGTCGCAGAGAGACGCGTGTAATTCACAGGTGAGCGCGGGGACCGTCGTTTTCCGCGCGATAAAATCCGCCGTTAAGCGATAAGTCCCGTTCTCAATGAACAACCACCCGGCGAACGAATAATGAGAACAGAACGGCGGAACAATTAGCGCTAATTAAGTGCGACTCGCGCGGCGAACGCGTGCGCGTCTAACAACTCGACGGGTTTAAATACGATGGAGCGGCGTTTCTTCGTCGGAAAGACGGAGAACCAATTAGAATGGAGAATTCGCTCGGAGTTGTTCTCGCCAACGATGAACGTTCGCAAGGATCCGGAAGTCTCGGCTGGTAAATACGAGGCGTGGGATTAGGCCGACCTTTGGACCGCTGTAACTTTCTGAACGAAAATCGAACAACGGTCCACCCTATCTCATTCGATAGAACGGAGTTTCTATTTTTGTACAGTTCCATTTAAAAAATTATTTCGAGATAAAAATTGGAGTTTCTATTTTTGTACAGTATAAGTTGCTTTTCTTTTAAAAAATTATTTCGAGTTAAAAATTCAGCGGAAAGATGGATACGATTTTTAGTCGAGAAAATTAAGTTTCTTGCAATAAAATGTTTCTACGAAAACTTTGGCAATTTCCACGCAGAAAAAAAAATGATTGATGACAGGGGTGGTTTCATAAAATCGCCCTTGTAACGGCGACCCCGCAAACATCGCACCGCGATTCTTTCCCCGCCGTTTTATCGCGTTTAGAATGAAAAATGTGACCGAGCCTCTAATGCCAGCGGCACACTCTCCACTCGAAGCGCGATAAAAACGACACCCAAAAACCCGTGCGTCAACTTTTACGATGCCGTGGCAGAAGGGAGACCACGATCCTGAGATTTTCCCAGATCCGTGCCGGCAGAGAAGACTCTCAAAATTTCGTGGAACCGTTTCAAGTCGAAAATGCGTGCAACGCGAATTTCAGGCGTCCCAAAAATGTCTCGCGATCCGAAAGCAAGGGATTCCTGAGGCGATTCGAAGCAACTTTTTCCTTAGCGAAAATGCGATCCGCGGCTTCGTTTACGAGTTATCGGCGAAAAACAGTGGCGAATCGGAGACGAGATCGTTTGGCGCGAGACGGCCGAGCCAATGGGCGGAACCGGGCTCCGCGCGCTCGTTAGCTGGGCCGCCGCGCGCCGGCCGAGCTCGCCTCTTATTGGTCAGTGTTTTCCGTTGATAACTCGTGAACGAAGCGTCGGAGAACATTTTCGCAAAGGAAAAAGTTGCTTCGAACGACCCCGGGAACCTCCCGTTTCCGGATCGCGAGACATTTTCGGGACACCCTGTATTACGAGCAGGACTTATTTCTGGAGAGAATATTCGTCGGCACGCGACGATTTCCCGCCAATTATTACGATCCGCCGGGCCATTGTTTGTCCATTCAGAGTCGAAGAGTAATTCCGTACGAAAGGAAATCCTTTCTGCGGCCGCCGACTCGGCCGTTAAAACGCTCGGAATTCCACCGTCGAGGGGTGAACTCGGAACAAAAGCCAGGAAGATTTCATTATTTTCACGACGGTCTCGTCGATCCGAAAAGTTCGTTAATGACGCCGACAAAAGGTGTCGACGGTTTCCCGATGGCGCATTTATCATCCGCCAGACACACCACTTCGCCGGAAGTTCGGCCTTTTTCCGCGCTGCTTTTGAACTCGAGACACCGGGCCCGGGCTCGGGAAATGGCGTCGAGTGGAAACGGACCAGCCGCCTGGATAAGATAAATCGGTCGCCCTCGTGGTCGCGGTCGCCACGTGGTTTTCCAGCGGTCTGCTTCCGGTTCAGGCTCGGCTTCTCGGGGAGCGGAGCGGAGCGACCGCGTCGAGATTACCAGAAGTTACACAAGCAAATGCCGCGGATCGAAAGAGCAACTTAAATTATACACCAGTGTCACATTTTTCGGATGCTCCTTATATTATATTATATATTATATTATATAATACATATATAATTTATATATTAATTTATATTATATATTATATTGCAGTCTTTAAAAGACAAAAATTTATTTACATAGATATTATATTATTTTATATATATATTATATAATATATATAATTTATGTATTAATTTATATTATATATTATATTATATTGCAGTTTTTAAAAGAAAAAAATTTATTTATACAGACATTATATTATTTTATATATATAATATATTATTATATATAATTACATTATATAATATATATATATATAATTTATATATTAATTTAATATAATAGTTACGCGGGTCGACCACCGCGGCCGTAATCATTTCGTCCGATTAACGTTACGCTTCCAGCGTTGATCCAGACTCCGGAACCAGATCCGGATCGCGGACCCTCTCTGGTTACGCGACGGAATCGCCGACTGACCTAGTTCCCTAATAATTATCACCGCGATCACCTCATTAAGCAAGGCACCGCCGCCGCAGCGTCCGCTGCCTCACCTTTCCCGTTTTCTCCCGCTTTTCCCGCTTCTCGTTTCAGGGACATCGTGAATTCTTCCTCCGTGAACTGCTAATAGTTACCGCGGTTCTTAGGATAGCAACGCGTTAAAATTCACGAGCGTAACCAGAAACTTTTCTGCGAACGAATCTGCGAAGTTTCGCAGAGTCGCGTCGCCGAGTCCCCCCCTCCCCCCCAACTTCTCCTGAAAAAGAATCGCGAAATGGACGCGCGCGCGTCAACGAGGAGACTGTGCCTATATATACATAATATACATATATATATTTAATATATGTATGTAATATCTATATAAATAAATGTTTTCCTTTTTTATATATATTATAATATATACATAAAATAGGCAATTTGGGAAATGCAGATAATACGATTATTCGAGTTATATTATAATATGTTATAATATTATAATATAACTATAGGTTATATTATATGTTATAATATATTAGAATATAACCTTGAAATAACCTTGACATAATCGTAAGGTTATTTCAAGGTTATATTACAATATATTATTATAAAGACTATAATATATTATAACATATAATATAACCTATAGGTTATGTCACAAGGTTATTATAATAACATAATATATTATTTATAGTATATAAAGATTATAATATATTATAATATAATATATATTATAGTCTTTATAATAATATATTGTAATATAACCTTGAAATAACCTTACGATTATGTCAAGGTTATGTCAAGGTTATTTCAAGGTTATATTATAATATATTATGAAATAACCTTGACATAATCGTATTATCTGCTTTTCCCAAATTGCCGATTTTCGTATGCGCAATCCGAGCGTCGATTACGAAGAATTGACTGTTAAGTTGTACGAAATGTCCTCGCGATAAATCGAGATGAAAAGCTTGCGGCTACGAATGTCGAGCGGTTCGCGATTGCTGTAAATCCGGATGAATTGCGAAGCAGCAATAATTGCCAGTTCCTGTCCCGTCCCGTCCCGTCCCGTCCCGAATAATAGCTCGCCGAGACAAAGCGCTCTCTAGCGCGACGGTGTTTGCTTCTCATCACCGGCATCGTCGTTTCTAATTGCATCTGTCGCTGCAGAGCGTCGACAACTCCATTACCATACGCTGTTATTTGAACTTCCGGCGAAACTATTCGCTGTCTCCGCGCCGGGCCGCCGACCGGTTTTAAACTCGATTTCAAACAGTTGATTGTCCTGTGAGCAGGAAATCAGCGAAAATCAATGCGAGCAGCATTGGCGATGATCCACCGATTTTGGATGGCGATGGAATTCTAGGTTAGGTTTCGTGCTCATTGGTGCGACTAAGAACGAGCGCGCATCGTCCGGTAACGTGCTAAGATCACGTCTCTGAGACGTGATGATCGTTTTTGAACCGATTCTTTGACCACGTGTCTCGGACGTTATAATCATTTCTGACCACGTCTCTCACACGTGATAATCGTTTTTGAACCGATTCTTTGACCAGGCCTCTCAGACGTGATAATCATTTCTGACCCGATTCTTTGACCACGTCTCTCAGACGTGATAATCATTTTTGGCCCGACTTTTTGACCACGTTTCTCAGACGTTATAATCATTTCTGCCCCGATTTTTTGACCACATGTCTCAGACGTGATTATCATTTCTGGCTCGATTATCTGACCACGTGTCTCAGACGTGATAATCATTTCTGCCTCGATTTTTTTATCACGTCACTCGGACGTGATAAATATTCCTGGCTCTATTTTTTGACCACGTCTCTCGGACGTGATAACCTTTTCTGACTCGATTATCAGACCACGTCTCTCAGACGTGGATCGCCGCGGAGGTCGCATAAATATCGACGAGAAGCCGGGAGAGGAAATTTCGTCGGCCTCGTAAAAGCGCCGGCGAGCAATGGTTCCTTAAATAATGGTCCCGGGCCTTGAATTATAGAAACTCGCTCGATATCGAATGAAGCGCGAGGAGGAACGCGGAGTGAACGCGCGATTGATTCGAACGACCGGGATGCAATCTGCATGAAACGGCACGCCGCGCCGGCTGATTGCCTCCTCCGGCCTTCCATTTCGTTAATACTGTCGTCGCTGAATTGCGCGATCAATTCTATCATGGTTAAGCCTCTCTCTCTCTCTCTCTCTCTCTCTCTCTCTCTCTCTCTCTCTCTCTCGTTACTCTGCCACGTTTATTAAACTCGAAGAAACGCCGGCGGTCCTCGCTCGACGAAATTCGGGACGCTCAAGCAGCTGTATCGGCGCGGCGCGGGAATAAAGCGAACGGCGATCTTCCTTGACTCGTTTTACGGGCGCAAAATTTCTACTTTCGCACGCTTCGAGTCGTTTTTCCCGCAGCATATCTACGGCTTAAAAATGACG